TTTTTATTGATTCCCCTGCCCCCTCCCCCTGCATTATGATCAGGGAGTGTGATCTGCATTTTAAAAAATATTGTTTGATATTTATTGAGACATATGTGCCTAGTATATGGTTAATTTTATAAATGTTCCTTGGATTTTGAAAAAAATAAATTCTTTTATTCTCAAAAAGAAGTTATTTTTTCAGTCTATAAATATTGATTTTATATTATATTTTAAAAACCCAGCTTTCTTTCTTTTTCTTATTATTTATCTGGTATGTCTTTGCCCCTTTTTTTGCTCGATTTGTCCAGCCCACTGTTGTACTGCAGTAGTTGTGATAGAAACCATTTTTAGCTCAAAATATTACTTTAACTGTCTATGGTATATAATCTTTATATACACAAATCTAGAAGAGTCTGGTGTATAGGTGCTCAAAAATATTTGTTAAAAGGATTAATGAATAAAATGGAACAGCACGCCTAATCAAAGCAGTTCAGTTCTGCTCTGCTTCATAGGTATCGCCATCTATTTCTGCAATTTTCCATTTGTCATATTTTTTATTACTGTTTGCCATTTGAGATCAATATCTAATTTTCAGTGGGAATTTCTCAGGGACAGAAATATATCACTGACCACATCTTTTGCCTGCTTTTCTATCCACCCAAATTCTGACTATTCATTGAGTACGGAAAACCAACGGAAGAACGGTTCCTATCCACAACTAAATTAAAGTAACTTATGGAGCATTGGTTTTCTCAAACTCGAAGAAATGTCCTAAAGACAGTCACCTAGGGGAGCCCAGCTGGGCTCACAAACAGACTGGGATTGAGTAAAGGGGAGTCAGTGGTCTGCTCTTAGAAACACCCAAGGGCCAACCTTGTGGGGATTTGTCTGGCCTGATTTATGGAGCAAATCTAGCCTTGCCCAGAAAAGTTTCTCTTTTTCCTAAAATGAAACTTCTATATTCAGACTTACATCAGCAATTTTGTTCTTTTTAAGGACACAGCCCCCTTCAATCTCTGCCAACCCCAGTGACTTAGGCATAATTCGAATCTGTCATATGGTGCTGATATACAGAAGGTTTGGTCTGGCTGCTAATACTGGCAAAAGGAGTTGAGTTTTTCCCAGTAGGATGAACATTCTGCACTTAATGAAAGCAAGATTCTAAAACTGGCTTCTCCTCTACAGCATCTAGGTCTCGTAAAATTACAAATGGCCTGGGGACCACTTAAATGATATACAGGGGGGAGTTATTTTATACAAAGGAATCTCCTTGGTGACTCCGGTTGAGGCCCAGGCCTAACAGCTTCACATAAATCTTATCTGAGAGAGACCAGATAGCTTGCTTTCAGTGTGACTTCATCACAAAGATCTGATTGGGTACCAATAATTTTTAGATGACCATATTATGGAACTCTCTCCACAGTCTGCTAAACAGAAGATGCTACTCACCTGATAGCTCATTCTGTATTATTCTGGAGAAAAACATTGTTAAGGACCTCATTTTAAGTATCTCTTCAAGATTAGCACCTTCCCACTTGAATTTGAAATGAATCAAGGCAGCTGGACCTATACACTCGGTGTCATTGATGTTTTCCATTTTTTTTTCTTCCTAACCTTAGCAAAATTAGAAAGCTTTGCCCCTCTAAATTGTAGGCAATATTAAAGGTTAGAATAGATTGAAAAAGAAAACTTCTTTTAAAAAAAATTCTGCTTCTAGGAATTTAATCTACTAATACACCCTTTTTGAAAGCCAAGCTATAAAAGGATCTTCAGTCAGCATTTTCTTTTAATCAGAAAAACCTGGAAACTACTTAAATGCCAATTAACAAAGGGCTTCTGAAATACATTGTAGAGTATATTGGATATATATAGCATCCAACAGAATTGGGTGCTCTGCCGCTGTTAAACGGAATGAGGTTGGTCTATTTGTGCTAACATGGGAAGTTCTTCAAGACATCTTATTATGTGAAAACAAGCCAGATGAGGCACTCTAAGTATTGATTGTATGATCTCCCTATAAAAATTTTAAAATATGTGCATATGTGGGTGTTTGTGTATATATATATATGTGCAATGCATTTTTCACGTGGGAGAAAAAATGTTTTCTAGAAGAACTATAAGAAATTACTAATAACCAGGGTGAGATGAGGAAGTAGAATATTACTTTCATTGTATAACTTTCTGTTCAGCTTGAATTTTTCATTATTTACATGAATCAATTTTTAAAAATATGTTATCAGAGATTATCTATGTGGTACGGTTACAGAATATCAGTACATTCTTCATAATTTTATGCATTAAAGAAACACTAGCAAATGTTATTTTTCAGAGCCACATTCATGGGAATACAGTCTTGACAACAAGTAAGGTGATTAAATTTCAAAGTTCAATGGATTTTTTTACAATAATTTATAAATGATAAACTTAAGTACTTCTTGTACTAGTACTTCAAGTACTAGACTTCTAGTCTAATAGAAATGACCTTGTACAAGAAAACTTTTGATCTGGTATGTGAATTAGGCTCTGGAATCTAGTCAAATCTGGGTGGAGAAAGTTGTTTTGAAGTGTAATAAACTAGAATTAGTACTTTTTTAAAAAAGAATATTAGAAACTTGAAAAATATTAATGTGTGGTGATTTCAGGAAAAAATACATAAAATGAATGTGCATAAACTATAGACAAAATGCATTTTCTGGTGTTTTCCTTGCACACGTATTTTTAGAAATGCTTGTTAAGTTTAAAGATTTTCTCAAAGATATCATAACTTGCCACATTTTTAAAGAAATACCATCAGATGAGGACACTGGAACAGGTACTGGATGTTTTCTTTTCCTGAAGTAGTTGGTTAAGTCATTCTGCATTTCCTTCTTTCTACCTGATCGTTTCAATTCTGTGCTTAAAATTACTTGAATCCAGCCCTGAACATTCAATTACTAGGCAGTGATTACTACTCTGTTCTCTGTAACCTCATGCGGCACGACAGAGAAGGCATAGCACTCCTACTCCCCTCGGACTTGTTGGTTAACTGATTGATTATAAAGTAGGATGGAAGTTCATTCTGGTTTATATCACTTCTATAAAATTAATGATCACCTCAAAAGTGGTTCTAGTTTACATTCAACAGGAAGTGCGAAGTAATTTTCACTGAGCTTGAGGTTTTTCTCTGATTAAAAATATACTTTCCCATTTTCTTTAAAGTTGAATTTCAAAGAAAAGTTGCTGTGATTCTCAGTACGAAAGAGGTGAGTCAGATTTGTGGTGGTGAGATATGAAGACCGTTAGCAGCTGATGGTGAGAGAGAAGGAGGAAGTGGGGTATGCTACTGTGGACAGGGATGCTGGGCTTCCATGAAGCCAAGCATTCTGTACCTTTCCTCAGAGTTCCAGGAGATTTAAAAGCATTCTCTTCTTAGCAGTTGATACTTCAGATGGGTGCCAAGTCCCACCATATTTATTCAGACTGCTTAATGTGAGTGGTCAAATTTAGGACCAAATTCCATATTATTTCCAGAGAGAATATTTTAACATTTATTGTAGGCATTGACTTACTATAAATGCATTTCAATTAAATATACCCAAATATTTGCTGACGAAATGCCTCTTCAGGTCGTAGCTGAGTCTCCCCCGTATCAGGCCTCCATCCACTCCTGGTCATTTCACTGAATGTGCTCCCATTGCTTCGGTGGCGACTCATTACATTTTAGGAATTTTCTGAAAGAGGTTTTCCTCTGACTGGGTTCTTACAGGTCTCCTTGGAAACTTGCTCCTGAATTTAATCCCTCTGCTCCATGCCAGTTGAGTTTTCATTCTAGTCCAGACATGTTTGAAGAACCTTTCCAGGCCTTACCTCTCTGTGGCCTGTTTTGGTCCTGATAAAACCTCACAGTACTTCCGTTTGAACCAACTCTTGCTCCACTCCTATTCCCATCTGCTACAAGATGTTGTGACTCTACATCTGAAGTGGGAATTTGTTTGGCCCGATTGAGCTTCTTTAAAAGCCCTGAAAGTTCCTGTGTTTATTGTCTTTTGCCTTTGAGGTCTCCAGGCTTGCTTACCTCCCATGACCTTGTGTCCCTGAGTCTTCTTGGATGTAAACAGTTTCACAGCAGCAAAACTATAGCTCTCAGTGACCTTGGCAGCAGGGCAGTGAGTAATGGTTTTCAGAGAGAAATCTCTTTTTGAACACATTTTGCTCCACATCTCCTGGCCCCAAAAGGGCTACTGTTAGCAGCACTCAGACATGTCATTTCATCTCCACATGATCTTATTTTTAGATGAGTATCTTCAAAAAAGCAAACTGAAAGACATTTGCCTTCATCTTTCAGTTATCTTTCAGTCCTTGTTCTCATCAAAAATAAAGACTCACATTTTCCCACGTCTTTGGGGGAATGTCTCCATAGTTAGCCTTCTTTCAGAAGAAAGATATTTCTACCTTCTTCCTCAACTAGACTTTGACCTAGATCTCTCTGTTCTCCTAAAGGCCAACATCCCCATCCCAAATCCTTAGGAAAGAAGCACAAGGCTGGTTTCTGCCCCCAAATAACACTGCACAGAGAGACAGGGTCCGCTGATTTCCACCCTTTGCCCTCCTGCCCCCTGACACCTACCCCCATAGCTTCATGGCAAACTGTATCTGAACAGAGACCTGGCATAGATTCCAGAAGGGAAGAGAGCTTGACTCAGGGTCAGGGTGAGACCTAAAAGACACTAGTTCCCTGAATGTAATGGCCTCTTTACAGTGGGATGCCTTTACACAGTCTGAATGTGGCTTCCTGGGGTGCCCCTTTGTCCAGAAACAAACCTGGGTCAAGGGGAGAAGTCCAGAATGAAGCGAGTAGTGCTTCTCTGCTGTTCCATTTATGGATTTGTTTTCCTAGGGTAGGGGGCCGGACATTGCTTGCTAATCACTTGGAGACCAGGATTTGCAAACCTGATGCATGCAGATCAACAGCAGTCCTGTTTCGCTAGTACCGCTTTTTATTTATTTATTTATTTTAAAATTTTTATTTATTTATTTTTTAAAATGTGGGATGCTTTGCGGATTTGCGTGTCATCCTTGCGCAGGGGCCATACTGATCTCTGTATCGTTCCAATGTTAGTGTATGTGCTGCTGAAGCAAGCACACTAGTATACTTTTTAAGAAATCCTTTGACTTTGAACTCCTTCTCTAGCTTGCCTTGGCCCAGCTGCTCCTTGCACCGCCGCCTAGGTGTTCAGAGTGTCCAACCTCTGAGACTCAGCAAGCGCACACTGAGGAACCCCTGAACTCTTGGCTCTGTGTTAGGCACTACGGGGTGACTTGGACAGATGGGGCAAAGGCGGCAAGCTCCTCCCTAGTGAAGTGCTCTGGGACTTAGGATCTCCAGCAGATAAAGCATGAGATATGTAAGGGGCGAAGTGAATGTAGTTTAGACAAAGGGATCAACGTTGGCCAGCAGAGCCGGGGGAGGCGTCTTTGTGTGGATGAAGAAGGGATTATTGAAGTATAGGGAGGCTTTGTGAAGAGAGAAGAGCAATCAGAAATTCCCGAGCCAAGATGTAAATCTGTGGGGGGCAGGAGGAGGAGAGGCTTGCCCTGCTCGCGGGTTCGTGTTGAAGGAACAGTGGGAAGTTGTGTCTAACTCCGAGAGTTGCAGATTACTATCATATTGACAACGGCTTTTATTCCCCGTCTCCTTTAATGCTCTTGTAGTCAATATTTGGAGGGTATGATTTTGTCTCACTGTGTTGCCCGAGCGGCCAAGTTGGACTGCTGGGAATGGGTCCTCCAGGCCACATCAACCAAAGCAGGACTTTGGATTCATTTCTCTGTGATCATCTCCCGTTAGAATCCTTTTGATTTTCGCACCGCAGAGTGAAACCCAGCAGTCTTCTGCAGCCATGCCCCGGATCATCAGGTACATGAAAGACTTCATCCTAGAGCTTGAGCCATACACTGAGCCTGCCCAAGACCAAGTCTAGGAGCAGAGACCATGTAAGCGTCAAATGACCAGCTAGAATAATCAAGTTAGGTTTACTTTGTTATTTTGTATAGTGTGTGCTGAATTTCTAAAACAGGGTGGTTCATTTTTATAATCAATCATTGCACTAAACCAATGTGTTGATAATCACATTTGTTTCAGGTATTATTACTTTACGGGTTCATTGTTGGAACAGTTAACCAGCAATAACAAGAGTCATCATCCACTTTCTCAGCCCCTCGGCTAATTTGGCTACTCACAATTATGAGAGTCTTTTGAAAAATATTGGTAGCTTCTAGCAGTTAAAGGTTTCTGTCCCTTCCCCTAGACAACCTCACCACCAAGACATATGTTTAAATGAAAACAAAACTCGGATCACATTCTGCCACCTACACTCAAACATGTACTGGCAGGTAAGCACAGAAAATCATTCAACTTCTTTGCCCCATTCTCTTGTCTTTTTAGGAACAATGACAAGCCCCTTGCAGGAAATATTCAGTTTGATGTGGTCACAACGAAATTTTGACATCAGGATCAGGGGACAGAGGTGAGAGAGACGGCCTGCCCTCCATTAGTTGGGGACTATGGGGCAGAATTCTATCCCTAGGGTATCATTCCAGAAGGTGTTGGACTGCTGGGACTGCCAGATCAAAGAAGGAGGTGCCAGTGGAAATCTTAGCCAACCACATGTTTTCACACCACTCGTTTCTCTGGAGCAAACTTCTAACACTCCCTGTGGTAAGGAACACACCCTCTGAGGCAGATGGAGATAGGGTTATTTGAAGCCCTTGCTTTTGTTTCTTTTGGAGCCTAAATTCCTGATAAGAGTTCTTTATATGTTAACCAACAACTGTTGACTAATCACCCAAGAGCACAGATGAAAGTAAAGTATAATCATAGATATCATCTGGTTTGTCTATATTTTAGGTCCCCTCCCTTTAATCCCCAACAGCTGTCCTACAGCCACCTCCAGTAAAAATATAACCGAAGTCAAAGAGCATACTTGCTATATACACGGAGCTTCCGTCCAAATCCTCCGGCACCTCCCAGCCCCTCTGTAGTTCTAATGAGATCACCACCATTGAATTACTCCTCTAGAGAAATACAAGAACCGCTCCTGCTGGAACCCAAATCTGAATGATTGATTTCACAGAGACCCCGAGACAGCTACTTGGATCCATATACAGTAGATGCTGTGATGCATTGCTCAGATGCCCCTTCAGGAAAGAAGGACTTGTTCCCTGAGCTGCTGAGAATTCGGCAGGAGGCAGGCTGAACTTCTTAGATCCTCCATGAATTGCCCAGGTTGAAGACAGCTACTTTATCTAAGGTTACTCCCCAAGGTTGCAAGTTCCTGCGACAATGGGCATCCAGACTGGTCAGTACTGGGATATAAAAGTCTGGCCCCTTGTCTCAATATCTTTGGTCTGTCCCAGCTCCAGAACTCCCAGCCTCTCCCCCTGCCCAACCCTGCTTCCTTCCCTTTGCCTACCTCCTACACACTAATCTCCATCTCAGAATCTTGTTCTTTTGGAATAGTTTACTATAAAATCATAGGTTTGCAGGGGTGCCCATGCATCCTTGCCAAATGTATAGCATATTCATACCAGAAGAGGAGCTGGAAGCATCCCGAAATGGAAGGACCTAAAGCAGGGTCCCAAACAGGACTGGGTCCTCTGGACTCCACACCATCTGTACTGTCTATTCTGGGGATGCCTGTGTTCTGCTTCAGGACCCTTGTCTCTAGGTTTGGATCATTCACTCCACTGTTCAAAAGATGATCTTAAGGCACCATGTCTTAAATTCCATTTTCATTTGTATTGAAGTTACATAGGCCCTTGTTAAAAGAATCAAATAATTCTCCAAAGTTATTTGACAGAGGCTGTTGGTTGAGCCTGGACATTAGTTCCTGCCTTCTTTAATAATAGGACTTCTGTGTTTTAGCAGAGCACTTGGCCAACAGCTTGTTACTGCCCTTCCCAGGCTCCCTTGCAGCTTAGTTAGGCCATGTGCCCACAGTCTGGCCAGTGGATCTATGCTACTTCTGGGGCGAGTTCCTGTCAAGGTATGCACAGGTGCTGCCCTGAGCCATGGCCCCCTCCCACTGGTTGGCATGAAAAGAACTAGAATGGCTGCTGTGACCCCCGAGATGGAAGCCACATTTGGGGGTCATAAAGCCAACCCTTCAACCCAAATTGCTTCTCTCTGGGCCATATCAAACAAGAGCAAGATATACCTAAATCATTTGAGCATTGGTATTTTGAGGTTTTTGTTTGTTTGTTTGTTTTGTTTTTTATTAAAGCAGCATGGCCTGTATTTTCATCCATATAGCCGGGTTGTTCTTTGAATCCTCTTTTCTTTTTCCCAGAAACAACCATAATAGGTTTAGATAACATATTTCGATCTGATATTTCATATTTAGGCATTTTCTATGGAGTTTCCAGCTTGGACACTGAATAGTCGGCTCTCTTTCTCCTTCTCTCCCACCCTGCCTGGCCCACTGCACACCTGCTCCCATTCCCTCCCATCCTCCAAAATAGTCATGTTGTCATTTTAAATAGACAAATATTTAGTGTTCATATAATTATGACAATGCAAATGGTATCTAAACCGATCTCTGCAGTGCACTATGGATGCTTTTAAATAATACTTTCTTTGTCCCAGCGATGATATTGAGCTATTTATTTTTTTCATTGTCTTAGCTTCCCATTGACTTATCATTAATTCAAACCTAAACACTCCCCCAGTTGTATGATCTCCTTTGAATATGTTGAAATGCACTTGGGATGCAGTCAGTTTTATCTCCTTGAAGAAATATTCCCAGGGTTTTCTGACTGGCTCCATCTGGACTAGCTGTTCACTAAGCCTGAGGTGTGTGTTTGATCAGCCATCTTTAATTAGACATCAGTATCAGTTCTACAAATTTGGATTGATTGCTCTGCAGTCTTAATCCTTTCTAGAAAGGGCTACAAGGGCTACTCCGGCTATGTGATAGAGCATGTCTCCCTCAGGCTAACCTGGGAGGGCTCCATAAGCAAGTACTCTCCTTGGTGGAGGCTTTCTTCTGAGAGCAGTAACAATGTTCTGCACAGGGAAGACATTGCAAATCTCTGAGCCGGATCAATGTCTTCCTTTTAGGAGTTGAGACAAAACTCTTTCTGCATTAGGTGAAAAAATTAACAGTGTCCCCAAAAAGCCTCTAACTCAAGGTACTACTGTTTAATTATTTCAAATTCAGTATTGTTCAAGCTACCGCATTGCACAGGGATAGCGACCAACCTTCAACTTGACAACAGTCCCAGATATTTTGGGTATGGCACCAGTGCATAATTTTTTGGCTTTTGTTCAAGTTCAGGTTCAGGTATAACTCTTACCAAGAATGCCTGGAATATAAACAACCGAGTGTAGAACTTCAACAGAACACCCTTCCTCATGTTCTTTTACTGCCAACACAGCCAGTCATTCCCCCCTGACGGGGAATACTGGGAAGTTAACTCACGTTGGCATATTTTATTACAAGATTAAACCATTGCAGGGAGGTGATCTGCCCAAAAACAGATGGACACTGGTCAACTATTGTCAGTCTCATTCTCCCTTCAGTTATCTTTCCTAAATTCCAGTACCGTTTTGGGTGGTTGAACAACCATCGTGGTCTGATGAAAGCTTATCACCTAAGAGTAGCCAAGGAGAGCAGAGTGAAGATCACTGTTTCTCACTGGGGCTGATGTGAAGCTAAACCAGTCAAGGCAGCTCCCTAATACACACACACACACCCACCCACACACACACACACACACACACACACACCCCAACAGCAGCACAAACTCAATGTTTGATCATTTCAGTCTGGCTACTGATAATAATTTATTTTATTTTTTTTAAAGATTTTATTTATTTATTTGAGAGAGAGAGAGAGAGAGCACGAGAGGAGAGAGGGTCAGAGGGAGAAGCAGACTTCCCGCTGAGCAGGGAGCCCGATGCGGGACTCAATCCAGGGACTCCGGGATCATGACCTGAGCCAAAGGCAGCAGCTTAACCAGCTGAGCCACCCAGGCGCCCAAAAAATTTCAAAAAAAATTAATGTAAGGAAATTAAGAGTTGAATTCCAGGTGAATTTAGGAGGCATTTCTAAACAGAAGTGTCTTTGAAATTTGTGCTTTTAT